AGTATGGAACAGGACACCACTTTTGCCTTCTCACTTCTCACTTCCTCCTTTTTTTTGGTGCCAGTCCTGGGGCTTGCACTCAGGCTCTGAGTACTGCCCTTGAGTTTTTATGCTTAAGGCTAGTGCGATACTATTTGAGCTACAGTTTCACTTGCAGCATTTTGGTGGTTAATTGGAGATAAGAGTCTCTGGTCTTTTCTGCCTTGGCTGGTTTCAAACAGCAATCCTCAGATCTTGTCCTCCTAAGTAGCTAGAATTACAGTTGTGAGCCACCAGTGCTCAGGTATGTAGTTTATTTGCAGCATACGGTCCAGCGAGTACCACTGCTGCATTAGTTCACTCTTTGTCCCTCCGTTTCTGTGGCCCCTTGGCCTCCCAAAGACAGATAAGTGAACAAACAAGACAGAAAGAAAACATAATCAGGGAAAAGCCTCATTTCCATTGCCTCCAGTTCATTTCAATTAATATTTTACAGATCAGAGGCACATAGGCATTGGGCCTTTGTATTCCTCCCCTAAGAGTAACCTTCTTTGGTCTCACTGTGTATGAATGCCTAGAGTCCAGTAAAATTGATCATGTTGTCTTGATGAAGTCTTAATCTAATGTCTGCATATGAGAGAAAACGTGCTGTTTCTGAGTTTAGCTTATCTTACTTAACATGATTTGTTCTAGGTCCATTTCCCTGCAAATGACATATGATTCTAATGGCTGTGTGAAATTCCATTATGTATAGGGACCACAGATTTTGGGATCCATTCATCTATTGTAGGGCATCTGGACTTTTTTTTGTCAGTCGTGGGGCTTGAACTCTGGGCCTGGGTGCTGTCCCTCAGCTCCTCAGCTCAAGGTGAGCACTCTACCACTTGAGTCACAGCGCTACTTCCGGTTTTGTGGTGGTTTACTGGAGATAAGAGTTTCACAGACTTTGCTGCACGGGCTGGTTTTGAACCTCCATCCTCAGATCTCAGGCTTCTGAGTAGCTAGGATTGCATGCATGAGCCACCGGCACCTGGCTGGACTGTTTTTATAACTTAGCTATTGTGAATAGTGCAGCAATGGACATGGGTGTGCAAGTGTCTTTACGGTATCCTGGTTTGTGGTTTTCTGGGTAGATGCACAGGATGACTTTGACTTTTGACTGCAGTAAAAACCGTACTTCAAATGGTGATCTTTTCCTGGACTATTGATATTCCATTTGATACTTCAGTCATGTAGAATACTGATAGTGGGCCAGTCATGAGGGTAAACCAATGATACTTCATAGAGTATTATTGCTAAGCTATAGTATTCAGTTGACTAAGTGTATTAAATGCATTTTGACTTATGATATTTTCACACAGGGCTTATCAGGACATAATACCATGTAAATTAAGAAGTACCCATATATACAAAATAAACACATTTTTTTTTGGTGATGGGGATTGAACCCATTGCTTCCCACATGCTAAGCAAGCACTTTACATCTTGAGCCATGCCCTTTCACCATTATTTTTGTTTTTAATAAGTTTTTTATTGTGAAGATACTGTACAGAGTGGTTACGGTTACATGAGCAAGGTAATGAGTACATTTCTTATCAAGCATTGTTCCTCCTCCTTTGTTGTTATTTTGTTTTTAAGACAGAGTCCTGCTAATGCTTGAGCTCCACCTTTTTTAAATTTTTTTCTTTTGTGTTGGTTGTGAGGCTTGAACTCAGGGCCTGGGCGCTGTCACTGAGCTCTTTTGCTCAAGGCTAGTGCTTTACCACTTTGAACCACAGTGACACTTGTGGTTTTCTGGTGGTTAATTGGAAATAGTTTCATGGGCTTTCCTGCCTGGGCTGGCTTTGAGCTATGATCCTTCCTCAAATCTCAGCCTCCTGAGTAGCTAGGATTATAGATGTGAGCCACCAGCACCTGGCATGAGTTCCAACTCTTGATTTTGCTGCCTTTATCTCCCCAGTAGCTGGGATTACAGATGTATGCAACCCTATCCAGGCACAAAATATGCACTGGGTATGAGAAAGTCAGATAAAAATTATTAAACATTTGCAAGGTAGGGTATTATATAGGAAGTAATGGCCTGGTGTGGAGGGTTCTACTTTAGATAGTACAATGGGGAGAAAATATTTCAACGATGGAAGCATTCTAGGTCATATGAGGCAAAGATCATCTTGGTGAACTTAAAAAAAAAAGAGTAAGACCAATGTAACTCAGCAGTAACAACTGAGGTGCAAGTGGCAAAACAGGAACTTGGAAGTGATAGAGGTCATACAATAGAACAAAATAGAATTTTGTTCTAGGTTACAACAGATAGAACCACCTTCATCTTCAGATCATCTTAATATTCCTGTGATCAGTGCCACATCTTTCATTTCCTTTTCCCTTCCATCTACCTCAACAAATAATGTTAACATTTCTCTGAGGGCTTATCACTTTTTCTTGAATACTCACTGCTCTGATTACCCTTTGCTTTCCCCCTTGCTCTTTTAGTTAGCTGCATCTACTCTGAATCTTCATTCTCTCCCAATCAGTATGATCAACCAATCTACATGATACGCTAGCCTCTTCCATCTTTAAGAAAAAACACTTAACCTAGCTAGATTACATGCCTGTAATCCCAGAAATAAGGAGACACAGGCAAGAAAACCTTGAGTTCATGAACAGCCTGGACTACAAAATGAGAAACCCTGCATCATAATTCAAATCCCTTCCTTGGGAGGAAGAGATTGAGATCATGGTGTGAAATAGCCCCTCAAAAACACTGGCAAGATCCCCACCCATCTCAACTACCAAAGCTTGGTGTGGTGACATGCTCCTGCTATCCCAGCTATGTGGCAGGCATAAATAGGAAGATCCCAATCCAAGGCAGCTGGGCAAAAACTCAAAATATAACAGACTGGGCATGTAGCCCAAGTGGTAGAGTGCCTCTCTAACAAGCACAATGCCCCAAGTTCAAACTAGTACTTCCAAAAAACAACTTGTCCCCCTTTCCCCCCCTTCAAAAAACCCTACTTAATTTGATTTCCTAATAGCTTTTGGCCTATTCTGAGGTATTCCTTTATAGTCCTATGGGATCAAAAACAATGAATATGCCACTGTTGACTCTCAAACATGATTTCTTTGTGGAGCTCCTATCATACATACCTAATTGTGCATACAGTGACTCTAATGCTTATCCAAGCAGTAGAGTCAAGCTTAAGCCAACCTACTCTCTAATACTGATCAGTAGTAGGTTATCGACTGGTCTTCTTTATATTAGTACATAGGCTTACCAATCAGATGTTCAGGTGTTATCTTCCATCATTCCCCCTTACCCAGTTCATTAGTGCAGCCTTCAATTCTAAATTGAAAATACCACTTTTGCTCACCCTTATGTGAACTTTCAGCATTTTCTGCCAGGATTTCTGAGTTGGTCTCATGATTTCCCTCCCTGTGTCCAGCCTTTATGCTTTGTTCACTCATCAGGCAGGGTGATTGTGAACTGAGAATAGTTTAAAGACATTTTCATAAGCCATGGTAAAATAAACTTTTATTATAATGACAGAGGTACATATAGTTTAGTAGAAAAATTTATGCAATACAAAAAGGAAAAAAAAACCACACAATTTCTATTTCCAAAGATTAGAAGACCTTAGGGTACAACTCTTTCATGGTACTTAAGATACCTGATTTTTTTTTTTTTTTTAGTCGGTCGTGGGGCTTGAACTCTGGGCTTGGGTGCTATCCCTGCGCTCTTCAGCTTAAGGCGAGTGCTCTACCTCTTGAGCCACAGCGTCACTTCCCTGAATATTCTTTTAACCAATATAAGATATTCTGATGTTGTCACATGTTCTTTTTCAATGAATGATCCTTACCTTTCTATGGCCACCCAGTCGCATCTGATATTTGGTCTCTCTACATTCAAATTTCCCGGTTATCCTATAAAAAATTCTATGAGTAATCTTTTCCGTCCAGTATCCAATTAAGACTGTACTATCTTTAAGCTCCTCATAAAGTAGCTTTATTTCTTCCTTGTAGTTTCTTTGGCTACTTCCTGTGGTACCATTTAGGTCATTTATCTGCTATATATTATGTATGTCATATATAAAAGCTTGATCAATTCAGTTAAATATTTTTGCCAGGAATGTTTCACAATGTGGTATATTTCGTACTAATCTACAGGGTTAATCCAAAGGGTGGCCTTTTAAGAATGTAAATTGCTTAAGTGTTATTTCTATCTCCCTTCCCCCTTAGAGAAGACAAAATAAGATTCTGAAGGATCTGATGCGTGCTTTCTCTTCCAACTTTATTTTCTACTTGCTCTTAGTCAAAGGACTGGGAGATGATTCCTTCTATTCTTGCTCCCTTTACCTGTCCTCCTTTGTCTCTGAGATAGCATCACTATGCAGCCCGTCGGCCTCCCAACTCTGCATCCTCCTGCTTCAGCCTCCTGAGTGCTAGGATTACAGCTGTGTTCCGCCACGTACACAGCTTGGTTTTTCGGTTCTGTTATAGAACCTAAAGTGCTGTTGGTCTTGGAGGTTCTCCACTCTTTCCTCCCTCCTAATGCCAAGCAGCTTCTCAGACATCAAGTGTTATAAAAGCTGGCTTCCTAGGAGAAAGCCTCTGTTTAAATTAGGTTCTAATATCCAAGCCCCCGGTTTCTTTCCCCGGCCGAGAGTGTGGTGGCTTACCTGCATTTGGTCCTTCCCTGCCGTGAACTGCACAAAGGCAGAGGCTTTCCCTACTGAGTTCACAGTGCACTCACAGCTTGTGCCCAGAGGCGGAGTGACGCTCCTAGGTCACAGTACCCCTGGGCGCACAAGGTCCTGGGCAGGTCAGCCGTAACACCCTCGGCGGAGCAGTAGAGCTCCGTCGGTCACCGCAGCGGTGAGAAGCCCTCAGAGGCGGCAAAGGCCGGGATCCCACTGCGCAGGTGAGCTGGCGTCGCCGGGACAACATCACCTGACCACGCGACGCACGCTCCTCCCCGCCGCGCTTCCTCACTGCGCCTGCGCCACTGCCGCAGCTCCCGGAAGTAGCCGGACCGTAGCGCTAGGCGGTTTGCACGTCCGTCCGTCGGCCCGTCGGTCCGCTCGTCCGCCGCGGGGCTTCACCCACCGGAGCGTTTGGGCCCTGTCACTGCTCCGGCGTCTTTGCGGCCCGTACGGCCGGCCGGCGCTTCATCATGGCGACGTTCATTTCGGTGCAGCTGAAAAAGACGTCGGAGGTGGACCTGGCCAAGCCGCTGGTGAAGTTCATCCAGCAGACGTACCCGAGCGGCGGGGAGGAGCAGGCCCAGTACTGCCGCGCGGCCGAGGAGCTCAGCAAGCTGCGGCGCGCCGCGCTCGGCCGCCCGCTCGACAAGCACGAGGGCGCGCTCGAGACGCTGCTGAGGTGGGCGCGGGCCGGGCCCGGGTGAATGGGGGTGGGCGGCGGGCGCCCCCGGCCTCCCCCAGCTCCCTCCCTCCCACTCCGCCGCCCCGCCCTGACTCGGCCGGAGCCGTGGGTGTGGCCTGCATTCTTTCCTGGTGAGCCGACTGGCCGGCCTGGCCGGGTCCTCGGAGTCCTTCCCGGGGTCACCAGGGCCCCTTACCTGGGAGGAAGTCTGCCACGCACCCAGATTCCTTATACTCCACTAGTGTGTGTGTGTGTGTGTGTGTGTGTTTTGTTTGTTTTAAATGGAGACTCCTTGCTTCTCGCTCTGCCACTGTCTTAGGGCCCAAATCTAGAATTTCCTAAAAGTAGTTTTGTTGGAAGTGTGTGTTTTTGGAATCAGGACCCTGGACCCCATCCATGTCTGTGTACTACTTCATTGCATGGTTCGCTTGAGACGAGTCGTTTGAACAAGCTATAGGAGAATTGTAAGTTACTTAAAACTTGAATGACAAGCTGGATGCCCGTTGGCTCATACTTGTAATCTTAGCCATTCAGGAGGAGGCGGAGATCTGAGGATTGCAAAGTCAGTCCAGGCTGGAGTCTGCGAGCTGTTATCTCCACTGAACTACCAAAACAAAACCCAAAGAAACAAGAAGTGGCGCCATGGCTCAAATGGTAGAGCAGTAGCCTTGAGTATAAAAGTTCAGGGACAGCCCCCAGGGCCTGAGTTCAAGCCTCAGAACCTGCACAGAAACTTAAGTGACAGATTATTCAAAGTAGGTTGCTTAAAGTCAGTTTGTTTGACTGTGCACCTAATAGAATACATTTCAGAAAGTGCATACTGGCCTCACTTTGTATCTGGTCTCACTTTGTATTTGTTCTCTTTGTGGAACAGTTAATGATACCTTTCTTTTTGGATATCACTTTATGATACATCGCTTCATTTCCCATATGTAATTATTCTTGTTTCATGGGAGAAGTCCAAGTTGTATTAGGGTGCAGGAAACAGAAACCCAGCTTAAACTAGTTTAAGCTTAAGGGATACCTGTTTTGATAACCAAACATTAGGCATATTTGATTCTTCCTTAGGTTTGGGCATCTCTGGGTATCATTGTGCCTCCAGATGCTTCCATCTTAGGTGAGCTTTGGTCATGTGTTGAGAGAGATGATCATTTACAGCTCTTACAGAAGTTAATGCTGTCTTTAGCTCTGTTGAAAGTCCATGGAGGTTGCTCATTTGGTTGGCTGATACAAACTTATCTTTGGTAGGAAATGGGGTTATTAATGACCTTTGTCTGGGTCACCCAATTGGTTTAACTTCTCCATCTTTGTGTATCAATTCAAGATTCGAGGAAGGGTTGGTTGGCCAAAGGAAGAGACATTGACTAGATTGCTTAGAGATTTATGATGGTTTTTTCAGCCAACCTTAGAAAGTTTAGACTGTTGTCTCATACTTAATGATACTTTTATGTTAACCTAGGAGTACTAGGCCATTAAAAAAAATCTTGAAGGCTATATTTATGTAGACATGAGTAGCATTCAATGAGAATTTTGAATTAGTATTTGTAAGACCTATTTTTGGTTTAATGAGCCTTATAATAAAAATTTGTTGAATAGTTTGGATTCCAAGGATTTGGGGTGATGGGAGACACTTGATCCATCGATTTAGAATAATAGACAAGGAAAGATAGTGGGCAGTGGTTCAGATAGAATGCTGCTGGGAAAGTTAAAACTTCATTTGTTCTTTTTTTTTCTTTTAATAAGTGTAACTGTTGACTAGATAGTGGAACTGTTGAAGATAGTCTCCTTGAAACTATGTTTCTTTCTTTCTTTATTTTTTTTTTTGTAATCCAGCAGAGTTATTTAGTAAATAACTGAGATTTTTCTGTGGTAAGGGTAAGCTAATAAATCACTACAGCTTACTAAATGTTTTTTTCTTTTGTCGGTTGTGGGGCTTAAACTCAGGGTCTAGGTGTTATCCCTGAGCCTTTTCACTCTACCACTTTGAGCCACAGCACCACTTTGGTTTTCTGGTGGTTAATTGGAGATGAATCTTATGAGAATTTTTATGTCCAAGCTGGCTTTGAACTGCAATACTCAGATCTCAGCTTCCTGAGGATTCCAGGCGTGAGCCACTGGTGCCTGGCTAGCATATTAAATTTTATATTAGAGGGATATACAAAAATTTCTTGGGCATATGTACTGTAAAATTGGATAGTTGTGAATTGAACTGTTGGGATATTTAAAACAAGAAGTATACCTTTTCTGAGGGACTAAATATTTAATTTGTATTAAAAAAATATTTTGCTAGTGCTAGGGATGGAGCCTAGGCCAAGCAAATGCTTTACCACTGATTTACATCCCCTGCCCTTGTGTATGGAGATTTTTTTTTTTTTTTTTTTTGAGACAGGCTCTTGATATGTAGCACAGAGTAGCTGGTAATTGATTGTATGGCCAGGCTAGTCTTGAACTCACAGGCAGGAGCTCCTGCCCCAGCCTGTGAAGTGCTGGGATTATAAACATGTTCGGTGCTTTTACACAGGTTCTTGCTGTGTGGCTCAAGCTGGCATCAAACTCATGAATTTAAGATCCTCCTACCTCTACCTTCTGAGTGCTAAGATAACAGGTCTATCCTGCTGTGCCTGCCTCAGTTTTCTTTAGTTGAAGGATCATTTACATAGATTTTGTAAAACTTCTAAACAGACTGTTTCATCATTTTACGAGTTGTAAAGTTGATTGAACTACTCTAGCAATTTCCAAAATGTTTTCCAAGTGCTAATATTTTATAGTTTTACATTTATCGCTGTTCCACCTTCACAACTTTTGCTTATGTTGTGATTGTTAACTTAGGAGTGAGATATTGAAATACTATTGTATTATTGTACAGTATACTGTTGTACACTGCTACAGTTTATTAATCAAATGTTAATGTGGAGTCTTGGGACCACACTACAGGAAGAAGCTGCAGAGTATTTAAAGACATGTTGTACTTGACACTTGGTCTCAAAGAGTATTTGTAGTTGTTAGACTTTAATTTGGCTCAGTGATTTTTTTTTTTTTCATCAATAAGATAGATAAATAAGAAAATTAAAAATTTGGGGCTGGGAAGGTGGCTCAGTGGTAGAGTGCTTGCCTTGCATGCATGAGGCCCTGGGTTCGATTCCTCAGCACCACATAAGCAAAAAAAGCTGGAAGTGGTGCTGTGGCTCAAGTGGTAGAGCACTAGCCTTGAGCTGAAGAGCTGAGGGACAGCACCCAGGCCCAGAGTTCAGGCACCATGACTGGCAAAAAAAAGAAAAAAAAAGAAAAAAAAAGAAAATTAAAAATTTCGTGTAGTTTTGACAATTCTGGTGTGTAGTATATATAATAGCTTGGCAGGACTATCATTCTGTGTAACCATAATAGTATCTTTGTTGTTCATGCCAAACATTTAAGCCCATATAGGTAACTTTTTGGCACAGCTTGACTGAGGTCCTAGCTCCTTGACTGATTTGGTTTCTATCATATTTTTGCTGTAGCAGTGATTTTTCTTGGGATGAATTAGATGAAAGTCAGGTTAGGAGGGATCTATGAGGTTGGCCTCACCTGTAACTGGCCCACACCTTTTGATTCTCTTAATTTCTCCCTGTAATTGGTAGCCTGAAGTGCATAGCCCTAAATATATATTTGAGTAGTAAAGGGTTATAGAAGTGTGTGGTATATTAGTTGTCAATGTCGATTGGTTGTTCTTGTTCTTTTACAAATGTTTAAAACTAATTTTTCAATAGGGATTTGGCCACGCTTTGTTGTTTTTTTTTTAAGTGTTGTGTTAATTTTCTACGTATTTTTTTTTCCTCCCACAAGGTTTTTTTTTTTTTTTTTTCTGTGCTTTGGGTTAAACCCTGGACCTTGCTCATGCTAATACCACTGAGCTGCACCCTCAACTTTGCATGAGATTTTTAAATTAAATTATATTACATATTTTATTTAAAGTGAGTCTTTTGAAATAGAAGAGCACATATAGAAAAAAGTACTTACATGTAGTTGCAAAATAATCTATAGCTCATTTATCTAGTGTGTACTATGTATCCAGATATGCAAAATAATCTGTAGCTCATTTATCTAGTGTGTACTATGTATCCAGATACTATCTTAAGCATTTCTTATTTATTACATAATTTGTTCCCTCACCCATAAGGAGAGTATTATGTTACTTTAGAAGGGCTTTAGAGAAATTGAATAGCTCACACATGATCACACAACTAAGAAATGGAAATCAGAGTCAGGTTGTCAGACTTGAAATCTTGAGTCCTCCAAATGTGACATTATTATACCTTTTAGGTATGCTTAGGATTTTACATTTTAAATAAGTGATTAAAAATTCACTTATTTTAAAAATAAAATCTGGCTGAGTGCTGGTGGCTCATGCCTGTAATCTTAGCTGCTCAGGAGACTGAGATGTGAGGATTGTAGTTTGAAGTCATTCCAGGTAGGAAAGTTTGTGAGCCTGGTTTCCAATTAACTACCCAAAAGCCAGAGGTAGAGCTATGGATTAAGTGGTAGGGCATTAGCCTTGAGCCAGAAAGCTCAGGGACAATGCTTATGTCCTGAGTTCCAGCCACACACACATGTGCACACAGAGTTTGTACACACACACATGATCTATAAGGATAATTTTTGCATTACTGTTTTTGGGACCAGCTTTCTGAGTTAGTGTACTAACCAATCTTTCTGTCTGTCAACATATGTTGGAGGCTATGGTTCCCTATAACGATGCCTATGTAAATAATAAGGAGAAGGGCTTGGTAGATTCTTTTGTTTCTGTGAGTTCCGTGACTTCCCTTTCTAGAGAACATAAGCTGTAGGAATTATATGAGGGAAGTAGATAACATTGCCTCTGGTGACCACATTTATTAGTTGCTGCTTTCAGGTATAAAGCCTCTCTTGTTTTGTTGGGGTTGGCTTCATATTGATCAGATATTGTGATTTCTAGTGACTACCCTTTCCTTGTACTTCCATTTGACTTTACATTGCCTGTC